GTACGTTGTCTGACTACAACATCCAGAAGGAGTCTACTCTACATCTTGTTCTGCGTCTACGTGGTGGTATGCAGATCTTTGTGAAGACGTTGACTGGGAAGACGATCACTTTAGAGGTTGAGCCTAGTGACACTATTGAGAATGTGAAGGCGAAGATTCAAGATAAGGAAGGCATTCCTCCTGACCAACAACGTTTAATTTTTGCTGGTAAGCAATTGGAAGATGGTCGTACGTTGTCTGACTATAACATCCAGAAGGAGTCTACTCTACATCTTGTTCTGCGTCTACGTGGTGGTATGCAGATCTTTGTGAAGACGTTGACTGGGAAGACGATCACGTTAGAGGTTGAGCCTAGTGACACTATTGAGAATGTGAAGGCGAAGATTCAAGATAAGGAAGGCATTCCTCCTGACCAACAACGTTTAATTTTTGCTGGTAAGCAATTGGAAGATGGTCGTACGTTGTCTGACTATAACATCCAGAAGGAGTCTACTCTACATCTTGTTCTGCGTCTACGTGGTGGTTATTAATTTGGTGATATTGGTGGTTGTTATTTTAAGTTGGTATCTTATTACCAATAAATTATACGTTAGCTTTATCGATGACTTTATTTTGATGTTAGGGCAAGTATTTCGTATTAATTGTTTTAGGAGTGTTGCGTGTAATAAGGATCTACGTTTTTAATTCTGCTCTCAGTAAATCACGATATGCTTTTATAGGGTTGGGTAGTTTTGACGCGTGTATGAATTTTTAAAATCATTTTCGCCACTTGATTCTCAGGTTCAGGTAGTTTTAACTGCGTTGACATGATGCAAACTATGCCTTATATGTAGTCGGGTAGATAGGACAACTTGCATTTCACTCACTCTTACGCATGTTCCTCGGTCCGTCATGGTCAGTAGGTGTGCAAAGCCTAGTCCGTGTGTTAGGGCAGGTAAAGAGTGTATATAGTGGCCAACTTGTTGTTATGAGCGATGTCCTCGATTAACGCTGAAGTATTGCTGGGTCTGCTTGTTGCTGTGATACCTGGGGATTGCCTTGTATGCTTGGTGTTCATGTATAAGGAAATCTACTTGTCATGAGTTCGTTGTTACTGAGTTGTCGGAGAGTAAGTTTGACAAATAGACTTTCTTCTGATGACTGTGGATCCCAGGCTTGCGATTGGTTCAGGCGCACATCTTTCTGTACCCTTGTCAGTGTCTTTCCACTTTGAAAACCTAGCCAAAAGGTGCTTAGCTATTCCTAATGGTTCAAAGATTACTTAGGAAAGCAATATCACCCAGTAACCTATTATAGTTTGAGACGTTTGCAAGGGCTGTAAGTTTGTTCTTACATATGGTGTTTTTTCGAGGTCTTGGATCCAGTCCGGAGTTCACCGAGTTCAGTGCGTAATGTCTAGTTTCAAAATAATCCACGTGGTATGGGAACCATTGGAATTCTCCCTTCGTAAGTTCCACGTGGTACATCAGCGAGACATTTCCAACACATCTCAGCGAAGGCGTCAAATCATATCTGTTTAGTTACGCTATTTCACTAAAATGGTCGGATCATAGTAGACAAACGAACCAACTTGGAACCCGGTACAGAAGTGCTGAGGTTCAAGTTGCAACACTTCTTAGTGGCGTACTAAGAACTACTGGATAGGAAAGACTAATATCGGTGGTCTATGAGAAATTCTTAAATGAAGATATGCTAACTTGAGACGACGTCGAAGGATGAGTACACTTCTGCTATGATGGCCAGTTTCTAGTCAATACAACTAGCCTTCAAATAATGATCGTCTCAGGGATCCCAGACAGGTAGTCTACACCTCCCGACAGGGTTCGGACACTTCACGCATTTCTGCCACGTGTTGGTCTACCCATCCTGAACCCTCTTTCATCCTAATCCAACTGCTAGCGTTTCTCGTCCGTGTAAGCTGTGGCTTGGCATGCGCACGACATGCTTAAGCCTACTTAGTCGATAAAGAGTCACAACCTCATCGACTGACTTGCCTGTTACCTTTTGTCTAACTTAGATGTTGCTAACATGGTGGTCCCAGCATTCGAAGCAATGCTACAAAGACTTGTATAGTCTATGACCGGTAACTCCTTCGAATCTTCTGTTTATAACGAACATAACATGCAACAGTGTAACCGGACGGACTGTAGAGCAATATGCCCATTTTTTACCAGATAGTCGAATGTCTATCCAGTCGGCGCCAGAGATGACGCGATTGGCAAATATCAATCAAACTTTTGAATCCGAGCTAAGATCTCATCAGCAAACGCCACAAGTAACTCCCCAAGCCAGTGAAGTGTTCGATGTATTCCATCACTCCACTCCCTATCCTTAAACTGAGAGTGGTTGCAGACTAGTCTTGAAGCATCCTCTCATATTTCACAAATGCGAAACACATGTAAAACGTACTCAGAATTCTGAACAACGCATTCATGGCCGTGCATTTTGTCAGCATCACCTAGCAGGACAATGTGGTCTAAGCACTACGAGCTAGCCACATGCCCTCCACGGAAACCAGAGGTATCTACGTTTATCTTCATCAGTACATCTACAATGCAGTTGAACAGCAACGGTGAGCATCCGTGATGGACACCCCTAATTGTCGTCAACTCATGCGGCAACTCTCCATTGGCTCTTACGCCGCTGTGGGAGTTCGAGTAGACAGCATTGATTAGCGTTACATACTTGTTCACTATTCATTTCACAGTCAGACAACACCTCACGACTGAGAGTCAAATCCCACCTTCAGGTAAACTAGTGTGGCATGTATCGGCCATCGGTAAGTGTGCCAGTGTTCCACAACTTGAGGAAAGGTGTTAGTCAGGTACTCGCACCCTCGTCTAGGTATGAAACCTGTATGGTTTTCTCCAGTTCGTTGTTCGTCAGCTCCAGTTAAACTTTTGATCACTATAGACCCAAGAGTCTTGGACATGATATCAGTCAAACGGATGTCCTTAATTTGTCACAAGAAGACATCTCCCATCTTACACACTGGGATGATCTGTGAAGTAGATAAGTCCGACGACAATGCCTCTGATCCCCGTATGCTACCTATTATCTCCATTACTACTCTACCTTTCAAGTCCTCATGTGGCAAACTGTCAGGCTCTGCAGTTGTCATTATTTCAAGTTTCAAACAGCCTTATCAACTTCTAGGAGAATTGGAGAACTGACATCTAAGTCCTATTCAGGTTTGGGCTGCATGCTGAACAGCTGAAGCGTGGCTATAAGCCAGTTGAACGGTGCTTCAGAATGTTCTGCTCAGCATTCTACCCGTCTGCCCTGAGAGGTTATCAGAGTCCCATCCTCTTTGGTGACGGCTTCACTCACCATCATCTTGCAGATATCCCTGGTAAGCCAAAGTAATTGGTGGGTATTGTCTGGTGCTAATGCCTTCTCTATCTATGTCGCTCCCATCACCAACCGCTGCTAGTGATCATTGCGAAGGCTCTTGGTCAATATAGGTTTCAGTTGCTTTCGTTCTTCATTGTGGTCAAAGCCGGCTGGAATCAGTTTTCACGCACCAAACAGTTTGGATGAGGTAGCCGCAGCCTGTCTCGATGTTCAATGCTAGGAGAAGCTGGATCAGGTTGGAAGAGGGTTCAGGATGACCAGACCAAGAATTTACACCAAAGCTTGAAGTCCTGACTTAGTTTGAACTGTGGTCCCAAGATGACTAGAAATGCTTTGTGTCACAATGGTGCAGATGCATACTCCTTTTAAATCCCTTCTAAAACCTGAATGTTATGACTAACCGTAATTTTTAAATTTCATCTTTACACCTTTATCTGTCAGTCTTTTCTGTCTACTTGTTTTTCGTATACTGCGGTGAAGTGTGATAACTTAAACCGATGCAATCGTGTGTGAGGTTCTACGTCTGTTTTGTTTATCTATAAGTTACCAACTGTCTTTGTCACTGTTTCTATAGTGGACTGAATATCACGCCAGGTTTCTCAGGATGATTGCTGTCACGTTCGGATAAATCCTTCGCTGTCTCCGCTGTATATGTTTACTTGATGTTCTTCTCTTCCCGTCGACCTCGCACACGGCTTACTGATACCTGTTTTCTGCGACCGGTAAGGCACAGACGTACGCGCAGCAACACGTTATCGGAGTCCAAACAGTCACTTCAGAGAGAAAAGCAATGCTCCGCGTATCCATTCTAACGATGATCCATCTGAACCCATTATTGGTTTGTAGTTGGTGGATTCCATGTAGGACAGTGTTTCTCCTAATGCCTAAAGTTCATGCTGGCCAGAAGCAAACGATTATCAGAACAAAAACTCAACAGACGACCACCATTTTCGGTTTCTTGGGACGGTGTTACGTAGATACCTACAAGATACGTTTCTGACTGGCTCAGTTTTCCTACCTAAGCGTTAAATTCACCTGCTACTGTGACTTTGTGGACGTTTCTCTATATGTAGCAGAACTGACGACTTTTGCTAAGATGAATCATTAACGTCTTCCGAACTAGGGTTGGTGGATATGTAGACGGAGATTACGAATAAGCATCAGATAGTCTCGTGACCCTTCCCACTTTTTACAGATCAATTCAGTCGAACAGCACAGATGTCTTTTAACTGGTATTCAATCGAAAAGTGCACTTTCAGCCCCACAACTAAATACTATGCTTACACTAGTAAGTCTACGAAAGCTAGCCACTGAATCTGCGGCGAGTTATAAAGATTCACCAAATTAGCCACGTGAGGTCAATTTAATAACCACACTCAAGTCGTATGCCTCTGTCTCGGAAGCACAGCATACATCCTTGTCTCGACATTTCTGGCAAGAGTTGCTGGGTGTGCCATTCAATATACAATTAGGACGTTGAAAGCTGCAATATAAATCAATGGTGAGGTCTTAGGAGATTAGAAATGAGGCTTCGATGGCTTTGATAGTTGGCAATGGCTGCAGAGTGAGTGGTTGAAGAATTTGTAAGCGCCTTAGGTGGAGGTAAAAGAGGAAACAGAGTTAAGAAGGATGGGTTATGTTTGATCCAGTCTTGTATACTACTGGGACCGTGCGAGCTGTTGACACCTCCCGGAGAAAACTATACCATGGAAGGCTAGCTCCTATTATGGTACTTGAAAAAGAAGGGTTGTTGTGTAATGCCTAAGCCTAAGGGACATCTGTTTGTGGTCCCTCACACACGCTCTTTTCACAAGCTTAAGATTCCGGTTTGTTGCTTTCGAATTTGACTATGGACCTATGTCACCAACATCAGCATGCTGCGGGGTAGCTGGAGTGTGCTAATTTTTGTGTCAGCCTTTTCTGAATCTTCTTCCCATAGAGAAGGCAGCATTAGCATAACACCACTGGTCACCTGAAGGAAACGCATTCCTGCTTTCACACTCCCGTCTAGCCAACAGTGGGAATTCACTATCAAACCACTATCATAGTGTAGAAATGTACTCTACAGCGGTAACTGCTTTTCGTCTTACCATTATCCAACAGACATTTTTTAGTATGGTAGGTGTTGTGGTGGTGTTTGACTGTGAAATAAGTAGTGAACAAGTATGTAACGCTAATCAATGCTGTCTACTCGAACTCCCACAGCGGCGTAAGAGCCAATGGAGAGTTGCCGCATGAGTTGACGACAATTAGGGGTGTCCATCACGGATGCTCACCGTTGCTGTTCAACTGCATTGTAGATGTACTGATGAAGATAAACGTAGATACCTCTGGTTTCCGTGGAGGGCATGTGGCTAGCTCGTAGTGCTTAGACCACATTGTCCTGCTAGATGATGCTGACAAAATGCACGGCCATGAATGCGTTGTTCAGAATTCTGAGTACGTTTTACATGTGTTTCGCATTTGTGAAATATGAGAGGATGCTTCAGGACTAGTCTGCAACCACTCTCAGTTTAAGGATAGGGAGTGGAGTGATGGAATACATCGAACACTTCACTGGCTTGGGGAGTTACTTGTGGCGTTTGCTGATGAAATCTCACTTGACCGATAGCTGCTACCTTGACGTGGTGGTCGGGCTTGCATATCACAATGACCCAACGAGCTATGCTAGTGGAACACTTGTTCCCTCGAGGTCCTACCATACCAAGAAGGTCTGTTGGATAGGGGTTAGACGAAAAGCAGTTACCGTTGTGGTGCAAATTACTACGCTACGATGGGGGTCTGAAGGCGGAGTCGTACTGTTGTTAGCTGGGTGGGGTGTGACAGCAGTTAGGTGTTTCCCTTGAATTACCAGCAGTGCCATGCTGATGCTGCCTTCTCAGTGGAAAGGGGTATGCGTTAGGAGAGGTCGCCCCAAAAAATAACACACCACCATACCCCACGGTCTGCCACACTGGCGTTGTCTGTTCATTTATCATCTCCTTTCAACCATCCGGCCCCAAAAATACAAAAGTTCAAAATAATCACACTCAAAAGGATACGTGTGACAGGCCTCAAGCACATGTCCGATGGGCTCTGCGGTCACACCAATATCTTTCAGGTACTTCAAGAAGAAATAGCCTTCCACGATGTGGGCAGCCGGGAAGTGTCAACCGCCCTCACAAATCGACCAGCACTCAAGTTCCCTAGGACTGCTATCCACCACCCCCATCATTACCTCCTAATCTTCCTTCACGTCTCCCAATTAACAATACTGCATCATCTTTAATTTCTCCTAGTTCTGCAGCCTTTGACAACGATCTGAGTTCACAGAACAGCATCCTTGGTCTCCTTAAATCACGCTCCAAATTACATATTGGTGCCCTCAATGCCCGCACCCTCCATCAAATTGGTCAATAAGCTTCGTTGACAAAGACTCGGGTCATGGATATGTGCTGTGCTTGTCAGACACGCATACAGGACCCAAGTGTGGTTATTCACCTAACATCCCCCGGCCAATCTGGTGAATCCGCAAAATCCACCCTCCCAGTTTCTAGATATTCGATAGCTAGCTTTCACGGTCTTGCAGGTGCAGGCATAGCATTAAGCACTAGGGTGGAAAACTCACTACTAAACTGGATCCCAGTTGATAGTCGCCTCTACGCTATCTGACTGAACGGTAGAGTGAGAACTAGAAAGAATAGTGAAACTCGCCGTCGTCTTTTTGTAACCTCTGCACCTACTGACTGTAGTTCAGATAAAGTGAAGGACGAGTTCTACCGTAAACTGTCTAACCTCCTCTCGAAAGCCAAACGTTCGGACGTGGTGGTTGTTGCTGGTGATTTCAACTCACAGGTGGGTAGACTGAGTGAGGCAGAAAGGCACTTAGGTGGCACTTTCGGAGTCCCGGTTGAACGAACAGATAACGGTGATCGCCTACTTCAACTGTGCTCAGATAATCGCCTATTTTTAGCCAGCATAAATTTCAGACATAAGAAAAGACACTGTATGACGTGGCGTCCACCGAGCTCAACCCAGCGATGGACACAGATAGACCACATTGCTATTAGTCATCACTGGAGAGGATCGGTGGAAGACTGCCGCTCCTTCTGGAGTACGTGCTTGGATAGTGGCCACGCGTTGGTCCGAGCGCGTATATGTCTACGTCTCAATGGACGTAAAATAAAATAGCAGCAAAACCATCACGAGTAATGCTGTTTTCCTGGAGTCATAAAGAAGGAAGACTTCAGAAAACAAATTTGTTTTCGGTAATATCATCCTTTGCTGGTAAACAGTCCCACTTAGTGCGCACACTTTATATGATATTTATTTTTTGATATATATCTGTTCTCGGTTAATAAATCATGGTAGGTTATGGCCTTTAAAGGTAATCAGGAATAGAAATTACGTTAGACGCGTGAAAATAGTTGACACTGTGAATAAGCAAGTGTGAGTTCGGGTGAGTAAACAGTTGTCAATAAGGATCAGAATGAGAAATTAGGGACTAAGCTAAAAACGTGTCCTTAATAACAAGAAAACTAAAAAGGCTCAAATTTAGCGTATAAATTAAGAAGGGAAATAGAGCAGGAGGTGCCAAAGCTGCTGACTACACAACTGTGGTTTCGATTTCAGCATTGCCAGAGCCTCAGCAACGCAACCGTTCAACTTCATTGTAGGTGTACTGATGAAGATAAACTAAGCTACCTTTGGTTTCCATAGGGGGCATGTTGCTGACTTTTAGTGCTTAGACCACATTATCCTGCTAGGTGATGCTGACAAAATGCACGTTCTTGTGAAGGCTTTGTGTAGATATCTGAGTTTTTCGCATGCGTGAATTCTAAGATAAGGCCTCAGAAGTGGTCTGCACTTACTCCAATTTTCGAGGATAGGTAGTGAAGTGAAGGAATGCACTGACTACTTCACTAACTTGGATAGTTGCATCGGTAGAAATGAACTGGTTGCTGATGAAATCTCAGTTCGGATAAAGAACGGCTGTTTTGTCACTGTTTAGTCAGCCTGGGTCATCATTGGCGCTGACTGGATAGATATTCGACTACCTGTTAAAAGACGAGTGTACTGTACCGCATTGCTCTCTGTCTTGTTGTATGTTTCGGACATTGGAGTTGAGAGTAGGAAGTGTGAACGTGTTACAGGGCACAGCCATAGGTTTCTTCGTAGCATTTCCCAGGTAAAGTTGAGTTGCTTTTTTAATTTGAGGACACTTGAGAGAAAAAGGAAACGTGGTCTATGATGTGGAACTTCAGTGATTGAATGGGCTTTCCCATATGTTACACGTTTCGACCCACCACCTGCTTCGGTGTTCAATGTCATGCGAATTAATATTGGGTTAGCGAAGATGTTGCCCCAATTGATGTCAGTCCTTGATAAATACTACCTCTAAATTACAATTCCCATTCATCTCAAAAATACATTACTGTATAGTGCTCATAAAAATTTGTCAGTTTTCAGATATCCATCTATTATAAACATCCAGAGCATAGTTGTTACGAATATCCTTAAAAATGTTGAGCGCCGAGTCAGGTTGATTCATTATATAGGTAACTTTTAGTATAATCCCAGCGTGTTTAGAAATCAAATCAAGATTTTCCTAAACTTTTCGCTGTGTATGCTACAGCTTCTTCAACAGAATATTCGAATTTTTATTTAACATCAAAATATATACTGTCAAAAGGTACATGTAGGAATTTCTGTCTTTGTGTTATTGATTAGCTGTTTTGTTGTTCAGACTGATTGTTTCTAGTTACTCATCATAAATTCATAGTCTTTAGAAGTAGTATTCATCATAGACTGACACCAGTTGGGGAACCATCGAAAATGTGAGAGCACTGGACAGCTGTTTCGTCCTAGTGTGGGACTCCTCATACAGTCTTTGTCATTTGTGATTAAAAAGGTTTAAATATTCAACGTGCGTAAGTAAACTTTTTATAGAAAATGTGTCATTCTTTGTTTATCATATAAAAATATGAAAAATATGTTTATACATTCATAATAATTGATACATATTGTTTTTTTGCTTTTTTAAGAATGCAAATTGAAATGGTGAAGGTTTTTGTCTAATTAGAGTCTGCCATATAGGTGACAAATCAATACCTTCCTTTCTGTTTAAAGCATCTGTTAATGTTAAAATATGCAGGGCTTCTGAGGTTAATCTTTGTTTATGTGTAAGGAAACCCTTCCCTAATATGTCAACATTGTCAAAATCAATTTTGTGCTCACTTTCAATGGCGTACTCAAAGACAGAATTTTCTACATATACCTTTTGACAGTATATATTTTGATGTTAAATAAAAATTTGAATATTCTGCAAAAGATGCTGTGGCATACACAGCGAAACGTTCAGAAAAATCTTGTTTTTGATTTTCTAAACACGCTGGGATTATATTAAAACTTACCTATATGTATCCATGTATTCGCTGCAAGAGTGACCAATCAGAGGGGGTAGACTTACTGCTCTGTAATAACATAAAAGTCAAAAGTATATTGTTATTTGATCGGTGTTTTTTTTTAATCAAGACTGTTGAAAAGAGCAAGTGAATTTTTCAAGTATGCAATATCAACACAAAAATTTTCAGGAACGAAGAGGGGAAAACTAGACATTTGAAACAGTGATGCTATCCATAATAGCCCTTAATTTGAATAGTGGAATATGTCATCTATGCACAGTCTATAGATACTAAGATAAGGTATGTGATTGATAGGTGAAAGCCGGAGACTTTACGAATTTCTGCTGCACTCATATATTTGATTTATATAAATGAATCTGGATGGAATTTGCGCTGACTATAGAAAATAAACTTGTAAACATTAGCACAATCAAATGGACTGTGATATGTAACGTTAATAGCTGTGCTAATGTCAACCGCATGTCCGATATCCATAAAATAAGCAATTATAGAGTTCAGTGTAATGATCTTTTCTGTCGTTTCCTTAACTATGAGTGATCTTTGTAAACTGGACAGTTAGCTTACCTTTTCATATGCTTAGTGTAATGGATTTTACAAAGGCAGCCGAAATGGTAACTAAAAATAGAAAGAAACTGAAATTAGATAATCTTTGTTCTGGAAAACCCACTATCGATCGACTAAACAATTAGCGGCACAACTTCACTCTGTTGAATACTCTATCTATAATTCTCAGCTAATATGTTATAACCTCATTGTTACTTTCATTCCTAAACTGTCCTGTAAGTGACAGATTGGTTAGAAACTGTTGATGCTTTGATTTTCATGTTTACTGAATTACTATGCTTGTTAATTGTGAACTTCTCTGAATATCCAATACTGCTGAGAAGATCATAGGAAAATCTTAAGGTTTTAGTCGGAAATATCATATGAGCACCTAAATTTCACACTTAATAAACTGAATATTTTATTAAACTTCGTTCATATTGTAACGATATGAGACTGCAATAGTGTATATCCTGACCAGTTTATGTTAGTTTTCGATGTGGACGCCTTTCTAATGTTTCTTCCGCTTTTCTCTATTATTCGATTTTTGTAAGTGACACCGTTAGTGGAATAATGCTGTTAAATTTGTCCAATAAGTCTATTGTGTGACTCTTATTCTTTATAAATAAAAATGTATTATTCATAGAATGGCGATAAAAATATTATAACTGGGTAACTACATTTTTCAAAATGTTATCATTTGATTTCACCGAGAAAAAGTCTTCAAAGAATTAATCCAGGTGTGGTCCCATATTAACACTATCAGCTCTTATGTAGAAAATTGGTGTTTTGGCCATAATCGAACCAAAAGATAACCTCACAGGATTTGCATAGTTTATAAAGATCTTTCATGCTATTCACTATTTACTACACCACCCTATTGAAGATTGTTTACTCGAAAACCTGTAGGTGTGTTAGACCCTATGGTAAGATATCAGGTGAGTTGTGTACGTCTAGTGGTGTCCGTCAAAAATACCCACTTTCTCCATTCGTATTCAATTTTATCATGGGTGTTCTTATGGAGGTCTCCCTCTCATCATCTGACTACACAGAAGTTGACCTGATCACAGGAAAATTTTTGATAGGCACAGATGGCATAGTCCTCTTAGGTGAAGAAGCTAACAACCTCCAGAGTCTTCTTGACACCTTGAGCGACGATATGAGAATACTTGGGATGTGTTTCTGGTCATCTCAATGCAAATTGTTGCTCGATGACTGGTCTTCAATAGTACCGCGACTAACAATGGAGAGTGAATCCCACTTTAATCTGTTTATTAGAAATGTCACACAGTGACACAGTATCATTTACTGGATAACTTTTCGGATACAGTTTATTGCCCATATTCATGTCAGGTCGTATAATAATAGAGAGTGAAGTGGTTAAGCGCGTTGAACACTTCACTCACCTGGGATTTCGAATGAGTTCTGGTACATTGGTCAGTAGCCAACGAAATCTCTCAACGAATACAAAAGGCCCAATTGGGTTTTGCCAACTTACTCCAACCGTAGCGCACCGGCGATATCCGATTATCTATTTAAGGGTCGAGTGTGCAATGCTGCGGTTAGCTCTATTCTCATGTATGGTTGTGAAACATAAGCATTAAAGGTAGAAGACATGGGAATGGTTCGGGTGTTTGACCACTGCCGTCTTCGTAGAAAAAGTCATGTTTCGTGGTGTTGCCACATGAGTAAGAGAGAAGTCAGGCGTGGAGTTTTAGGGAGGAGAGGTAAGTGAGTTGGTGGGGTTGTGAACTTTCATCGATTGAGGTGGTTGAAACATGTGTTACGTATGCCTAGTCGCTGTCTTCCTCGTCGCAAAATGTTGTGCAAAGTAGGTTCAGGCTTGAGAAACGTTGGGTGTGGCCAAACTAAAACACGGTACCAATATATGAAGTTTTTGACTGTTGGTTTGAGTGATGTGGATCGATGCAGACTAAGCGGTCGGGGTCCACGTGACAAGAAAAACCAGTAGTTGGGGACTGTAGGTGATATGTCTCAGAACCGATGCCAGTGGTGCAGATGTATACACACATTATCCAGATGTTAATCGCTATACCTAATCTCATCATCTCATTCTTCCTTCCTCTCTTTTACTGCTTTCTGCTTCTATTTCCTTTGACCTATTTTCTTTCCTTCTTTATCTTCCATTTTATTGCTTAGTTATTTGATGTGTTGATGTGAGATGTGGCAAATTGTAGTGTTACGCAGTAATGCCTGGTCCTATGTTGATCTCAGTGATGATAACACTACATAGCCTCCCTTTTATTATGCAGTATATTTTTATCTTTCAATGGGAAGGTATTTATGAACGTTTTCTTCTTTTCACTATATTTTCACAAATATTTGGCTCAGAGGGTGAGTTCGTTGATAAAAGACCCATATTCACTGCAGGTTTTTCTTTATTTCATTGATTATTGTTATCAGTATATGTTCATGTGAACCCATAGTCGAAAGTTGAGTATCTGTTTCAATGAATATCAGCTTCATAAAGAATTTCATCATCTGCAACGTTTTACACAAGAGGAAATATTCTAACTGGTTGCACTGTCCTTACTTTATGTTTCAGTCGAGTTAAGAGGAAATCAGTTTTTGTTAAACTGCATGTAGTTCTGTTGTAACAGGTTTCGCAATGAAGAAAGTCAGACTTAAAGTGATTAGTTATTCATTGGGAGTGATTATAAAGTAGACGCGCGAAATTCAGATAAGAAAAAAGGGTAATGGGGTAACTAATTAATGACAGTGTATAGTGCTTTCTTTGTTAAAGGTCAAAGCATTCAACTCAAGATGAGATTACCTTCAGTGACCGGCAACTTAATTTGACCGTGACCAACAGTCTATATTTTATTTTCCCTTCCACTAGTTCATATTTCCTAGAAAAGTGATGGGAGATTACATTTCTTCGAATGAGTGCTCAACTAATGTATTTTGTGCAGTGTCGAAAATCCTTACTTATCTCGACTAATCAACCAGATTGATTTCTGAACTTGTTTGAATTTTCACATATCCTCTCGGTTATTCCTAGCTGTTAGATGAAAGCACTTCTTGTTCGGTGATTTGGGAAATGAAAATTTCCCGTGATAGACAGTTAGAATCAAAAACATCTGGTATGAAGACACTGGCTATTACTCATTCTCACTTCAGTAGCAACACTCTTGGATAGGAGTTTCACATTTAAGACAATGGCTGATGGAAAATCGTTTCAGACACTCATCTACCTAGCAAATTATTATGTAATGAAGGGTGGAAGGTGAAGTCTGGCGCACGCAAATATTGAACTATAGAAAAGAATGCACCCTTAAACTAATTATAGTCTACCTGGACAATAATTGGTAATAATCACGTTTATTAAGAAGTACATGCGTGTTTGTTTGCCTTTACAATATGCTTGTTAACAACGCCATATACCTTCAACTATCCATCGATTCACATTCTTCCGCCATATCTTGTCGTTAATTAAAATAGTGGATTACTTTTTATTTCACAGTTAATTAGTTAATCACATGCCTTCAAATAATTCCATATAAAAACTTTGTAAAAACTGACTTGTTTATGTCGGAGTTGTGTCATATGGTTTTCAAACAATAATTCCGAAAAAAAATTCCATTTTTAAATTACTTGCATAACTGATGTTTCGTAATGTTTTAATTCGACATAATTTCATTCACAGAAATTCATAGTTGTAAAAAAAAGTTAAGGATTTTGATCGGTTATTTTTCATTTAATTACTCCTGATTATCGCATAAATTCTACTATAACAACACTCTCTATTAAGTTCAAAACAAAATATTCAGCAAAGAGACCTCACTTTCATGCGTTAAAAACACATCGAGCTGGGCATTTAACTGGTTTTTTTTGGATGCTTCAGCTGAAAAATATTGTCAAATTGAACCCCAATGCTGCTTGATAACTCTGGAGTGTAAATAATACGATGATTGTAATCTCCAGATCTGAACATATCTGTAACCCAGATGATTTAAAACGCATACATTTTTGTGCCTTACAAGACTTCTAGCTACAAGAATTTGCAAAGGATTAATTAAGCCATTTAATCTGGGTGCATAGCATCGTTGACTGGTGGAATGAAAAGGAGAACCAACAGACAGAATTCACGATGATACAAACAATCATCAGTCATGTAAACATTATTAATTCTGAATCAAAATATTATCTATCTCTCAACAACATTCTTACTGATCTTAGCAAAACACCTTTTCCCAATTTTTGTCAAAATGGTTGATATGTTTACCAACCGATGAAATATTTA